CCACGGGTTTCTTTGCTATTGTGCTTAACATCAAGTATGCTCATACTTCACGCAGGAAGCCTAGAAAGCAGGACATATGTTGGGGCTAGTATGGTAATTACAAACTAAGTGTAATTAACCATTCCGTTGGCTGAGGCAGCACCTGTGGGGTAGAGAGCTCCTTTTGTTCAAACACCAAACCCTTGAAGGCAGCATTGCTGTTCCTATAAAATTTTGCTGAAGGAGTCTTGCTGTGGTGAGCAGGCAACTGTTTGCCTACAGGGAACAGCCTGAAACTGAAAACTATCCTGCCTGCTGTGCCGTGGATAGCCGTGTCCGAGGCAGAGGCTGGTGGGTTGCCTGTGCCAAGAGTGACACCCTACCCTCTTACGCTGCCCTTTGCAAAGGTTTAGGCTCCAGTGATGCCACCAGGCACGGTGAAAACAGCACCTGCACGAAACCGAATTCTGCCTCAGCCTCACCTGAGGAGCAGCCGAACGTCACAGCGTCACACGTGTCGCTTGGTTATCTGCTGTTGTGTTTCCTGCAAATGAGGCCTCAACGCACGCAGGGGCAAGATGCCATCTGGGTTTAAATCAGAAGGTGGATTTGAGCTGGGGCAAAGGAACACAAGGTAAGCAGCTGAGGAACATGGTTTGGTGGTGGACTTGGCAGTGCTGGGTTAACGGTTGGACTCGATGATCTTAAGGGTCTTTTGCAACCTTAACGATTCTATGATTCTATGAAATTAGCACACTTTGTTGCCCTGCCTTTGCTATAAATGCTAAATACTAAGCTGCTGCTGCAGTCCTGAAGCTCGTGCATAATGGGCCCAGCTGTAGTGCTTTTCCATGAAGTTTTCCTGAAAATGAGATAAGAAGAGTCAAAATTTGACTCTGAACCTCCTATCCATACAACAGCCCTGTTTGACACAGACCACCAGAGCAGGCAGTGGTAAACAGTCTGTACCCTGCCTAAAATAATACGCTATATCCACTTTGCCTACCCTGATGCTGCAAAACTGCTGTTTGGGCTTGTCAGTGCTTGTGGCTTTCTCTTGCCTCCTCATTATACATTGCATAATAAATGAGGAGAAAGCTGGCTGTCTCATTATTAGAGATGTGATGGCATTAGTTGCTATGAGAAAAACTGAACTGGATTACTGCAGCCTGACTGATGCATGATGTTTGGTTCTCATAGCTGTTACTGGAGCCTCGAGCCTTTTCCAGCCACGCAATCATGTCAGGACTGCTGAGAGCTGTTGCCTTCATATTAGTTTACTTTCCCACGCAAAAGCCTGTGTTCTTCCCCACCCCACCCCCCACCAGATAAGAACTGGCCAAACTTGATGACCCGATTAGCATAAAATAGGTATAGGTGGTCTTTGGAATAGAAATATGCCTCAACAGGACAGAGCAGTATTTTGCAATACGGCACTCCTTCGCTCGAAGAAGTTACTACCCAAAGTCTAGCTCTATTAGTCTCTCTCTGTGCAGTATTCCTGTTATCATTGTTGGTGGAATTCCCCATCCCTTCATTAGCTGGAAATGATTGCTGTAGTCCACCAAGAAGAGCAACCGAGGCACCAGCAATCATTTTTAAAATTCTGCTTTAGAGGCTGGTCAAACCTCATGGAATCGTTAGGGTTGGAAGAGACCCTTAAGATCATCGAGTCCAACCGTTAACCCAGCACTGCCAAGCCCACCACTAAACCATGTCCTCAAGCACCACCTCTACCCGTCTTTTAAACACCTCCAGGGATGGGGACTCAACCACCTCCCTGGGCAGCCTGTCTCACTCTAAGTCCCAGCTGCATGTTTCTAGAGAAGGCAGCAACTGGGGCCTGGCCCCTCAGGCAGTGTCCTGGTTTAGTTCCCCTCGCATCTGTAGCAACAGAGCGATGAGACAAGGAAACAGAAGACAGAGGATCGCACTCCTGAGCTCTCCCGTGGAAAAGGGTGCTAACCCACCAGGGAAGATAGCCCAGGCCAAGGCCACGTCTCTCTAGTACACTTTCTCCTTCATATTCTCTGCAGTAACACTACCCTGCACGCAAGACAACGCGGAGAAACGCTGGTAGCTAGGCTTGGTTTGAATGTCTCCTCTTTCCTGATCCTTGCCAAGTACCACTTGTGTTCTTAAATTGCAACTGTGTTAAGTGTGGAGCTGAGGCAGCCTGGTTACAGTCAGTTCGCTAAGACTGGGAACAATCGTGAAACGGGCCTGAACAGAGCTGTCCTCATGTCAGTTGAAGCATCGCAACCCCTCTCTGCTCTCCTCCCGCACTGGCAACACACCCTCTTCAGTCAACAACATATTCCATCTCACGGTAACTTGTGTGCCAAATCCCTGGACCCCTCTCTTCGCTGGTCACGCTTATCTGTCCTCTTAGACGCAAAACATCTGTAATTTGTTAAGCGTACAATTCCTTTGATTGTGTTGTAAAACTGTCAGTGGTTACAAAGCAAAGCAGATACTCGAGCTGTCTGTCATGACAGACCTGCGGTGCGCTCCCGTCTCACCGTGCCACGTAAGCAGACAGCAACAGACCAAGACCGGACTTTCTGCTACAGTAATGCCAATCACCAGTTCGTGGCAGGCTTGTGTTCAACTCTTACTCTCAATGCTTCAGATTTCCCAACATTAGAGAAGTATACAGTATCTTCCACAGAGAAACAGGATGCAAATTTTTTTATTCCATCAAGGAGTGATTACAAAAAAACAGTACACTGGTAAAAATCAGATTCTGCCAGTAACAAACATTCAGTAAACATTTTATTTAAATGCAGATAATCACAACATTCGGATACAAGAAAGCTCACTTGTGCCTTGCCATTTTTGACTGTGAAGCTAGGGACTATATTATAATCATAACACACTGATCAGAATCAATATTTGAGGACAGTTTAGCAAATGGAAAACTCAAACAAAATAACAGCCACTCCAAAACTTACGAAAAGGCCAATTCAGACCAGTTTCTGAAAGCTTTCCTGCCCTCCATCATCCAAAATATTTTGTTTTATACCTATAGTTTCATAAAATAAAGTCCCCCAAGAGAACCAAATGCTTTTTGTCAAGACCATCACATGGTTTATGGTCATGCTTGCTCTTCTGTCCCTTTCTGTAAGGCCTGAAGCCTTTTATCTCTCAACTCTCAAGCCTGTAAGACACACAACACTTCATATTTCTGTAAGTCTTTTTCAATACTCACCTACAGAAATCCTTAAACATGTCTCCAAATGCTGTATCTTTCTTACCTAGCTGCTTCTAAGGTCATCTTTGGCTGTCATCTCTGGTACGCTCACAGACCTCCACTGAAGTGGGTAACACACAGAAACCTCACCTTGTCAGTGCTGCTGTACAATACAGTCTTACAGAACTGTTATGAGTACACATCAAGTAGGCAGAACTCCAAGTTTCAGGTAAAAATATCTTGTGATCCGTTATTCCACAGCCCAAATGAAAAAAAAAAAAAAAAAAGCGATTTGCAAAAGACAAGATACCTCAGTACAAAAAAGCTGTGTTTATGAAATACCTTCACAACTGCGGGAAGCTGAACTATTTAATGAGCGTTACAGAAAGGGCCATCTTCTTTCTGGCCCCACAGCTGTAAGCAACAGAAAAAGCAGCAATGCAAAAAAAAAAAAAAAAAAAGAAGAACAAACTCCATGTTTACAAGTAGAAGGTTTTTCAACAAGGAAGGACACTTTAAAGCTTTAGTAAATTTGCTGTTTCATTCCTTCCACTTTTCCCTTTTTCACATGAAGGCACACAAGTACATATACACACACAGAGATCCCCCTTTGAACTTCGAGTCAGCTTACACTGAAGTTAAACATTCAGTAACCACTCTTAGGCTGCTGAAGGAAATGTTCATCTTAAAGCCAAGCATCAAAACAGCTGGCAGAAGAGTTTGCGTAGGCTTAGTTTAAGTCTGAAGTTCTAAACTTCAGTCATCCTCATCTGGATCTGTCCTTTTAGCTTTAAACAATAAGGAGTACTTAGGACCCTAAAACATTTGAAAATGCAGTTCTTAAATCGAGATTTTGAAGTTTATCAGGCAAGGGAATCAATCATCCCCTCCTTGATTTTCATGTTCTACAATGTGGACAGCGGAGCACATTCCATCACGGAGCATTAAGAAATTTTGGGAGTGATACAGAATAAGCCGCTGGACTAATATAAGTCTATTTTTTTTTTTAAACCTTGTATTTGTCTAGTAGCTCCATTATGGGTAAACTCACCTGCCAGCAAATAAATACTTTAAAAAGTTCATCTTAATTGCACCAAGGTTTAGATGTATCACCATTCACCCCATAAATATTGAAGGCCAAGACTAATTACCTTTCACACTACGCAGGCACTGTTCCTTGCAATTAAGTAACATCGTATGTGCCAATACCCAAATGAACAGAGGAGCTGAAGGAAGATAGTGGTTTTCACAACAGCTTTAGCAAGAATTCGTAGGTTGCATTGATTATGCCCCAGGACAGGACAGAACGATGGTAATTCAGATGGGCTCCTCTGAAAAGGTGGATCAATTTTCTATCACGTTCCAGCCAGATCTTCACAAAGACTTTTGGGAAGGACTGAAATTCACCACCAATTTGAGCTTGCATGCGAGTTTTTACAACATTCACTGGGAAAAACAAGAATCCCAGCATGGCACCCAACAGCCCTCCACATATGAAGTCATTGACTAAATGAGTGCTGTAAGAAGTTGCTTCAGGCAGACACTGTTTGATAGGTCCCCGTAGGCCAAAGAAGAGTGCATTACTGGGTCCGTTTCGGAGCAGAATAGGAACCAATCCCCGATAATATTCTCTCATTCCATAGACTTTCAGTACCTTGAAAGCCTGGTAAGTGTTTGTAAATTTATCGTGGTGTTTGTAGTCCTGCAGCAAAGTCTGAACTCGCTCAAAAGGTGTCAGAACAGCTTCCGTGGTCCCTGCAAGCACTGCTGCCATGCTGCGCGTGAGGAGTTCAGGAGCGCTTGTGTGGCTATGGAGCAGGGAGGAGAAATCTTCATACAAGCCAAACATTAGAGCCAGTGTTGTCGTTTTCTGCATTAATGGAGGAAGGATGCCACGATAGAGATTTCGAATTCCATCCTTCTGCAGCTGATGTACTGCATCCTTTGTTTTCAGACCATACAACTGCTGTCGAAAGAGGACCTTGTGGATGGGAAAAGTGACCGCTATATTTGTGAAGGCCGCACAGTAGCCACAAAGATAATGTTTACCAGAGGTAGCCGTTACGTCATTGCTTAGATATTCCTTTGAATTCGTTGGGGCAGAACCTTCTGAATCCATCATACTGTTTTTCTTACTGTAGTATATCTCAGTTCTCCTTCCCTACATCAAAAAAGAAAAGAACGAACATGAGCAGAGCTGCAGGTGACCCTGTAGCTTTTTTCACACTGGCGGATCATTCAAACAGCACCTGGTATCTTACATCCGAGGAAAGCCCAGAAAATTTGAAGGAGAAAAGCGACAAATGCCAGATCTGACGGATGTTGTGCTGTTTTCTGCTCAAGTTTCAGAGACCTGAAAAAGCAGCAGTAACAATCAAGTGAGGCTGGAGGTGGTTTGCGAACTTCAGATACTCCTCGCCAGCAACGTGCATGGGATTTCCACGATTTCAAAATGGTATTTGCGGCCAATACCCCTGCTTAGGATGAGGAACTCTTTCTCAAGGCCCAGCCACTACAGGCTGTTACGTGAAGGACATGTGGCAGAGGCAGAAACAACCTGGATTGCTCAAAGCAACCTGACAGATTATTTTGACCAAGTACACAATTTCTTTTTAAAACAAAACACATACGTGCCTGGATCGGCTTTTCCCCTACAGTTACATGCTATTTAATCCTAACTGCCATCTAAATACTTTACAAAGATGAAGTGTTTCTGTCAATACAAGAAGTAATATCAGAGACAGGGATTCATATAAGATGGCTTATACATCACTTCATATATGCATCAGTTTAGAGTATTATTCAGACTACTGTAGTTTTACTTGCATATACTAAAAAAGCCACATCTGCAGATACGCTACTCTTAGACAGGGGACAGTGGGTCATACTGATTCAACTAACAGAGCATGGAAGAGTCTCACCAGAGACAACGCTGTCAAGGAGATGATTCAAAAGGCCTTTGACAACTAGTCATTTCTATGGGTGGCAGCTGTCCGCAGCCAAAACATATTTTTCCCCTCAAAAGAAACTCGTGGTAAATAAAATTAAAAAAAGAGGTGGGGGGGGAAAAAAAAAAAAAGAGAGAGACCTTTAGTTTAGTTTCAGAAGCTACATGCTCCTTTTGGCGTAACCACTGGATCTGTCCAGTAGGGAAGCGTTGAGGACTGCAACGATCCTCACATAAGGAAGTCATCATGCTTCTGAGTTAGGAAGTTGCAAGAACTAGGCACAGCAAATCTTCCCTGAAGTCTTTATGACAAAACCCTTTCTTTCACACATAATTTGTAAGGCCTGTGCCACCTACAAGTACCAGAGCACGGCAGCCACTCTGCTAGAATTTAACATAAAAGGAACAGTTCTCCAAGAAGAGTAGAAGTTTTGGGTCGATGGCATTGCCTATGCACACAAACCCCTGAGGCTGCCACAACATCCCATTTATACACAGAAGTTCCCCTCAACCCAGGAGCCGATTTCAGAGCGCTCTGAGCGAGGGGGCACACGCGATCCTTTTTGACATCATGTTCCCTGATCCAAGGTCTTTACGTCAGGTCCCTGCCACTGTCACCATCTTGTGGCACGCACATCTAGTGCATCTGAAGAAGGATTTCCACCCATTTACCTGCCTAAACGACCATGGCCTTCAAGACGCTGGCATGTGACCCACTAGGTCAGAAAAACACAAGGGAAAGAATAAAGAAAAGGACATTTGTTACCTGGTATTGCATTATATCTATGTATTTGTAACCCTGGTAAGAGATCGCAGTGTTTCCCGTCATCCTGACTGCTGTGGAACGCATGTGCTACCTAGGCAGTCCCCTGGCCCAGTGACAGTTTAGGATTACTCTGGGAACTGAGCACTCATTCAGTCAGTAAATTGAAGTAACACGACAAACTCACGCTCTTTTGCCACCAAGTACAAGAAATATTCACCCTCAACGATTAGCCAAATCCTGAAGACATGCAGCCGTGTCAGTTAACACGGACGGTTTACGGACGCGCTCATTCGTTTCTGCGGCCGATCACCTACCGCGGTAACACACACCAGGTGGCCGACCGGGGGCTCGCCAGCCCGGGGCTCCTCGCCACCGCCAGCCCACCGGAGGCACCGGGCGCTTCCCCAAGGACGCAGCGCGCTTCCAGACTCACTGCATTCCCGGTGCGGGGCTTCCCGCGCTGCAGTGCCCGGGCACACCCGCCGCCCG